CACCCCATCGCTCAAAGCACGTTATGTTTAGCAAGGCACAATGTATATTTTGTTTCTTAGCGTGCATGAATTTGAAATTATGTGGACGGCAGAGAATGCACTATGTAAAATCGAGGATAACACACTTCACATTCTACTGTAATTGTGGCAGGTGTGGTCTATTTAAAACAGAAGGTGCCTTGTCTTGTTGTTAAACATCGATACAAACGAACATCATTGAATTAGCAAAATTAGCACACGCACAGGAGCCAAGAATTTTGTCCTCTTGGTGGGCTATCATTGCACACACTTGCAGCAGCGCATATATGTTTTATGTTACTTGTTCTGTGTTTTAAATGTTTTGATTTTCCCTTGGAGTTTGGCAGGGGGTTGGTACCCCCTTAAGTGCGAACCGGTGTCACCGGCCTGCCTACTGTTACGTGATCGTTTTTTTATTTTAATTTACTCGTGAACCAAAAAGCATAATATAATATAATATAATATAATATAATATAATATAATATAATATAATATAATATATTGAGTACATTTGTCGTTTTTTCACAATGATCACACAAATTACGATTACTCCATGTTAGAAATATAGATATTTCTCTTGAATATAATGGCTGAAATTAACTGATATAAGCTGTTGAAATCTGTAATGTATAAGAAAATAATATCTTTCTGGTTTCCAAGTAATTTCACATCTAAAATTATTAGTTATATATAAAATGACACAGCATGGCATTGCTTTATTGACAACATTATGTACTTGCACAGTGACACACATCATCATTCTCGTCATTTCTCACAGGTAGTTACATTCAATGTGACTTTCAGAATGGGTTTTGTGATTGGATACAAGTTGATAACGGCATCGACGAGATGGATTGGGTTCGTAAATTTGGCTATGACGCGTATGGTATTTTGTATGCAGATCCTCGCTATGACCACACACAGGGTATTGTATCAGGTCAGAAAAGAAACATATATCATAAGTCGTTTACATGAATAATTCTACTAAATACAACACATACATTGTGATTAATTAAAGAACAAAACGAACGACGGCTGAGTAATGAACAATTTTTATAAATCCAGTGACGAAAAAATTCTATGACATAAATGTGTTACACAGATGCATTAATTATGAATATTTTAGTTTGAGTAATTTTAGATGAGGAATATTCCATAACTAAATGCAATGGTCGATTTGAACTTTGCCGTCATCTATATAAGCTATCATGACTTCCCATCAGCGTTCCACCTCTGCAGAGCGCAATGTGTAGTAATTATATATTCAGTTGATGTCATGCATATGTTTCATTTTAATGTACTCTTTCGTGAATTATTATAATTTATTGTAAACAGGTTATTATGCATCAATTGAGGCTATGGCCAATCAATATGGTTACAGAGCTCAGCTCATCAGTCCAGTTTTGCAAAGCACAACGTCTGGGTTATGTAAGGTACTGTATATAATTACCTCAATATGTAAAAACATGAACTATTATAAAAGTAAAATTATTTTGAATAAAAATATTCACTAGCAAACAGACAAATCTTTATTATTTCGGAAAAGCAACTGAACAAATCTGGCGGAGAAGACAATTGCAAAACACGTAAAACTCAATACAAACAAAAATGAAGCAAAAAACACAATTTTGAGAATTCTGACTTATGTTACAACCTCCTTTTTACATAGATGCGTTTTTACTTTCACATGTCTAACCGCTATATTGGTAATCTGAATATATATACTCGCATCTATAATGGGGAAACTTGGGGACAAAAACGTGTATGGCAGAAGAATGGATATAATGGACCATTCTGGGACAAAGGCAAAATTGTTTTTGATGTCGCTGTCGATTTCCAGGTAGAAAAAATCATAGTTATCAGTATGTATACACAATTCACTAAAATTATTCACTAGTAACAATTTGTAGAACGTTCTATGTTAAAACTCAAAAGCATTTTGATGTCGTTTTGGGCAAATATAATTTATTCACAACCGTCCAACGGATGAGCAAGCTTTACATGTGTGGAAATGCTCTGTAAAATGTTCAAAGCTAGGTATACATTGTACAAATACTGTCAACCAACACTTTTTTGGACAACTTCATAAATTTAAAACGTTGAACGGTTGCAATGTAATAGTAGTAGTAGTTTTTATGAACAACTAACTTCTTATAATTTTTGTGCAAGTCACCAAAGGATGCATTATATCCATCTAATAATAAGTCGGCATAATACTTACATCATATAAATTAGGTTTCCTTTCTTTTATAGGTTTATTTTCATCTATTTTTATTTGGGTTACAAATACAATCACCTCATATTGCATTCGTGATAGTCATGTGAAGGAATCAATTGAAACCATGCATCTCGTAAAACAGAATGAATATGTATACTTAACATATGCAACTAATGAGGACGCTTGCAATTATACATATACATATCCACATGTATTACGTATGGATATATTGTTATTGCAGTTCTAATCTAATTTTACATTCATTTAACACATTCTGTGTGTTTAGGTAGTTATTGAAGCCACAACAGGTGACGGTAACTCGGCAAACATAGCTATCGATGATGTAACATTCACTGCTACGTGTGTGTTTAGTTCTATTGGTAAGTTTTAAAACAGTGTTGTGTATTGTTGTGTGGCATGGCACAATGCAGTGCGGTACAGTGAGACAGTCGTGGCGTGGCATCGTGATGTGACGTAGCGTAGTGTATAGTAGTGTAGTGTGGTGCAGTGTGGGTTATGTGTAACTTTGTTTATAATTGTTAATTTGTTTTCTGCAGGCAAATTGCCCAATGCACCACGAAAATCGCCTCCACCAATTCGTTCACCAATGACTCTCCACCCATCGTGCAATGACAACGAGTTCTACTGTACAGTGGATAACGAATGCATTGCTCCAGAACTGGTTTGCAACTTCCGTGATGACTGTTCGAATGGTGAAGAGGAGGCAGCTCGCTGTAGTGAGATTCACCAGAATGAACATTAATCACATATATCTCCAACCATACTAACTATACTAAGTATTCTTTATTGTATAACGCGTTGACTTTACAATTGTTATATTTCTTTTAAAATGACAACACAATTTTATCATTTTACAGTGCAGTACAGCTGTGATTTTGAAAGTGGTGCTTGTGGATGGAATGGCGTATTTGCCTCGTCACGCGAATTTTACGACATTCCACAATTTCGATGGGAAATACAACAAGGTCGTTTAGCTGAGAATTTTCGGCCACGTGTTGACCATACAACGACAACTCCCGATGGTACATTAGTATTCATAATGTCAGACTGGAATTCATATTTCTTATTAATAATTATAATACATGGTACTTGAGAAACATTAATCTGTAGACATCAACGTCTTTCACATTAGCATTAACGGATTTTGAAAATCTATTTTATCTTAGGCTTTTACTTATTGGCTGACAACTCCCCCGGAGAATTAAATACAAAAACTGAAATAACAACACCAGTGATTGGACAGTCTGGCCCTAATTGCCATCTGGAATTCTGGTACCATGTAGGTAGTAGCAGTAGTTCTGGATTACTGAAAGTATTCACAATTTATGAAAGTGAAATGAACCTGATATTTGTATCAATTTACGTAGTCGCCAATGAATGGGAACGCGCATTGGTCTTCATAGGAATCGGAGAACGCTTTCAGGTACTATGATTTGAACAAATTAATACTATGTTACGTAGCTCACATATTTAAATTCTTGTCGTACTTATTGTTATGATTTTCTTACATAGGTGGTCATACAGGCTACTCGTGGTCGTCGCACAACATTTGATATATGCATAGACGATGTGGTATTTATAGACTGTGCACCGCCAGGTATGTCATATAGCATACATTTTATTACTATAATATATGCAGTTTGACATGCAGTTTGCTGCAATATCATATCGTGACAGTACAATATGCACATTTTACCATGTTCATGAGACTGTAATGATTATTGTTATTATGCTTACCGAAACATTTTAAATTTTTGAACATGTTCATTAAATTATCTTACTAAATTGTAACGAATTATGTATTTAGTAATTCAAATGCAATCAACATATATCATATCATATATATCATGTATACTATCAAATATATCTTTTTAGTTGTAATTAACAAAGTGTGTACAGAGGACGAATTCCGCTGTTCTGATGGGCACTGTATTGACAGAAGTAAAGTGTGTAATTTTGCAGATGACTGTATGGACTCCTCAGATGAACAATATTGCGGTAATCACTCACGTATATGGGTTACTAAATGCTTGCATATAATTATGCCTTATATCAATCCAATACTACATATATATGTGGTAACATATTGTATGGTGAACATTTTTGTATGCGTATGAAGAGAAATATATATTTATCAATTGAAACTACATCTATGAACACATTGAACTCGAATATGATATGTATCGCCGTCATGTGGTTCGAATACCCCATGTTAAATGGTTCGTATTTTCGTCTATAATATGTTAGTCTATACCTTACGCCGGATGTTTCTCTGAAGCTGAACGGAATTGTTTTTTTCGGGCAACCACTGTCTTGTCGTATTTGTGGTGTATATTCAATGTAAGCACATATAAACATAACATCGCATTGACTACATAATAAATCTTACTTATATATTTTACTTATATTGTTAACACATGCACAACTAATTGAGCAAATACGCTATTTATTAAATACGTTATAATATTTTCAAAAACGGTTAGCTATTTTGAATAGATACTTAGGGCTTAGATATTATATGGCCTAAATGTGTGCATGTCTGTCTTTTCCTGATATAAAGACACATACTTAAGGCTGTGAGTTTGAAACAGTCGAGAGCACGGTTTTTATATTAGACAATATGTATCATACTTCACCATTCTTTGAAACTATCGGTAAATGGCGCGTTATTTATTAATTTATTTATATATTTATTATTTAACAACTCCCTTCAATAGTTCTGTATATTTATGTGTATATGGACATTGTGTTACAGGTGCTTTAGTTGGTAGATGTGATTTTGAACTAGATCTTTGTGATTGGGAACAAGAATATGACCACGAATATAAATGGTTATTCTCTCGTGGAACTCAGCTTGACCACACATTTAGAACAGTTGATGGTACATATTTGATTATGTTAATATTATTCATACAATTGCAACATGATCAGTTAGTTCAAGTCATAACTATGCATAGTACTTTTTCATGTGTTTTTTTTTCAAAAATTGTCTAATGTATTAATTATTAGATTCAACAATGGTGATACATTATGGAGAAATTGGACAAACCTAATTCGTAACATGAATGACTGAAAATGAGACATATTTTTTACTTTCAAGGCCAGTACTTAAACGTCAGATGGAATCAGCAATACGGAGCACGACTTGCCAGTCCATCAATCAAAGGAACAAGCATTGGATGTAGAGTAAGATTCGTTCTACAAAATCATGGTATACATTAACAAGCATATTTAACACATATAACATTATTATTAATCAAATCCTAGCTGTGTATTCCTGGTGATTTGTTTTCTAGATTACTTTTTGGTATCGTATGTATGGAAAGTCTATTATTTCATTATTGGTGTTACTGCGGACATCTTACCTCGATGGTGACAGCAGTTTGCAAGTGTTACACAATAAAACTGGAGATAAAGTTTATTACTGGTGGCCACTTGATCTAACTATTGATAGTCAAGGCAAAGACTTTAAGGTTTGCTAGAAGTGTTTGTTAATATGTGTTTGTACCGGAACATGTACGTGTGGTATTCTTTTTCAGAACACATTTACATATATTATAATAAAACTGCTATAAGGATACAAAGTTCAATAGAAAGGAAATTCCTGCAGCTGCATATATTAACGTACGGTATTATGTTATGACCATTTTTTGTTTTGCAACACGATAACTGGGAAAAATAACTCGATGTCTGAGCAGATTGTTATAGAAGGAATGCGCCATAAATATGACGGTTATGTCGCGATAGATGATGTCAGCTTCAGTTCGGAATGCATTGGTGGTGGATTGGTGCCTGGTGAAACGTTATCTATAGTTCCCAACCATCCGTCTTGTGATGAAGATGATAGAATGTTATCTTGTCAAGATGGATCAGGGTGTTTTTTTACTTGGCGAAGGTGTAATTTTATTCAAGACTGCACAGACAACTCGGATGAATCAAGCTGTGGTATATTTAATTATATATATATATATATATATAGATTTTTAATTATATGTTGATTGAATAAATTTATTTATTTATTTATTTATTTATTTATTTATTTATTTATTTATTTATTTATAATGCGTTTTACATATTTCACAGTATACTGATAGTTTCATTACATATAAATTTCGGTTTCACCTTAGGAACATCCTGCGACTTCGAATATGGTACATGTGGTTGGTACAACTCAACTACGCATGGCTGGGTAATTATGCAAGGTCGACTACCAAGTCTTTATTCTGGACATGTTATTGATGACACAATTGAAGATAACCTGGGTAAGAATGCTCACATGTTTTTTGGTTATTGCATGCATAATTATGCAAGTTCAATGAATCAACATTTTAAATACCAAAATGCACACTTGTAACAAGTCACTTAGTTTATCATCCGTCACTATAAGTTGAGTTTCAGTGTAATGCACTAAATACTATTCAATCACGAACTAGTTCTGGGATATTGCATACTGTATCTATACTGTATTCGATATATTATTATCTAACTTTTTTCAGGTTATTACATGTTTGTGTCGAGTAACTCTGAAAACAGAGATTTACGAACATTACCATACCAACACAGCCATGAAAATTGTCAATTATCCTTTCGGTACTGCATTTATGGACATCGTCGAGGAAGTCTATCTATCAGGATCAAATATAGAAACCACCAATCGAAACGACTTTGGCATGCCACAGGCAATCAAGGAATTGGGTGGTACAATGGCGTTGCCATAATCGGTCGTCAAGAAGAGTTCTCCATCATAATCGAAGGGGAACGTAATTTCGGTCATATAAGTGGAATCGTCATTGACGATTTACAATTTAACAATTGCTCTGATAGTAAGTAATAAAGTGGTAATATCATATCCAACCGTAGATCTTTAGAGTATAAGGCTGATTTTTTTTATACCAACTCCAGTTCCGCATTGTTGGATTTGAGGTTTCTTTTAACAGCTTACGACACACACATGCAATGAAATTCAAATATAATTTAATTTATTGGTCATTCGTGTGCACATTATAACATATCTCTCATAGATAAAGAACGAGTGATTATATGCATTCATTATATTGCCGCTTATTTCGTTCTGTTTTTATTTACTTCTCAGCAAACTATACCAGGCCATGTGATAATGCTAATGAGTTTCAGTGCTCAAACGAAAGTCGATGTTTATTAATGGACAGATTCTGTGATTATAGACCCGATTGTGATGATTGGTCTGACGAAGATAACTGTGGTAAACAACAACTTTTGCTCAACACCTCCAGTTTTTAATATTTACTGATTGTGCAAACACATTTAATTTAAATGTGACCCCAAGACTCCATATTTTATGCTATATGTAGGACGGTGAACGTTGCAGGCCAAATCTCTCGACGTGCTACAGAAATGTACACCAAAGGCAATTGTTTGCAATGATTTCATCACGTGTCACACTTGGTGACAGTTGAACACAAACGTCACGTCCTGACCGCCATCCTGCTTTATATACGATTTGTTTTATTTAGTTGTGAACGATGGTGATTGTCATTTTGATGAATACATGCCGTACTGTGATTATAAACAGCTAAACGACGACAATTTCAACTGGACAGCAGGTTTTGAGACGCAAAGTAATAATAGCGGTCCTGATTATGATCACACTGCAGCTATCACTACGCATAAAAAGAGTAAGTTTCAAAGGTTATAAAACAGAACTGCATGTACAGTACTTTGTACAGGTTATGTTAAAGCGGCAATAGCTGTGATTTCGATCACTGTTTGTTTATATATAACTACGCAAATTTAACCAAATATTACCAAAATATTTGCATGGCAAAGTGACCCTACACAAGGCTAATATTGCCCGAATTGCAAACACCATTAGTGGTATATTCGCCATCATCATCAAAGTCGGAAATTGTGAATTCACTAAATACCGAAATATTGTTTTAGACACAATTTCATGAACACTGTGGCCCTATCACGAGAAATGCGATGTGAAAACTAACTAAGGGTCAATTGAGTAGTAGCCATTCAGTTGAAGTTAATCACAAGGTTGGGAACTTAAACAAATATGACGCATGACGCACAATATTATTGGATATGACTCATACAATAATTTGTAACCATCCGTCAAAGAAAAGCTTAGTTTATAAAGATGACAACATTTTTCATCTGGGTTTGCCTGACTTGCACGCAATCCCGTGCAGCGTTCAAATATAGCGCATATGGTATGCTTTCAGTGCCTATATTTCATTCAAATTGACAATAATGACACAGAAAAAGTTTTATTGAAAATAAAAATCGGAGAGAAAAGTTACTACTGCTTTAAGATATGTAAAATGTGTCGGACTGAATAATGTTTTTTTTAAAATAGTGATTAATGTTATATTTGGATAGTGCTCTCCAGATCACCTAAACAAATACAACATTAGTCAAAAAGACTTAGGAAAACAATAAGTAACAGTTGGATATATGTTTTGCGATAGTCAACTGTATTTTGTACATGGCTTTTTTTAATTTTGTATTCTTAGGTCTATTTCTATACATCAAGAGTAGTGAGCAAAATACTGGAGATATTGCCCGCATAGCTACAAATACCACGTTTCCAGCAAGCAATGACGTCTGTACCATTAGGTTTTGGTATCACATGTATTCGAAAAGTCAGGTGTCTAGAATGGGTAGCCTAAGGGTTAGTAAAATATAATATATATTATATATATAGTTATATGTTATTACATCATATATGCTATGAAATTTGTATTTGTCATATAGTGTTGAGGCAGCAATGGAGTCCTGGACACTTGCATGTTATTTTGTTTATAATGAAAGTTTCCAAGAATATAAATACGACACATTTTTTGAATCTCTTATTACGTATAACCATGTTATATTGTATTTTTCAAACGAGTGTAGTACTTCTCATATCTTCCGAGCATGTTTATAAATTCTTGACAGATTCTTTTTCATAAGTCTAATGAACGTCTACTTTTTGGCCAGCTGAAATGTTGATCATAGTTCATAATAACAAAAAACAAAAAGTCCGCTAATCCAATAAATATTTTTTTTATTTAAATTGGTAATTTGTAGATTGGGTAATTTGGTTTAGTTGCTTTGAAATTGTAATTATTTATTTTCGTCCAGTATAACCAAGATAGCCGATAGACACGCATCTGACATACAGAGCACATAGCAGTTCTGATTGGGCCATGGCAGTGATTTTCAGGTTTATACATATGTTAACATGTTCAGATATTTCAAATCAGACAAGTTGAACATGTTAAAAATACCAGCCATCATATGCAATGATATGTAACAGGCCTGCTATATAGGATAAACATTGATGATGACATGTCAGTAACAGACGCATTTGTTCTATTGGAAAAAAAACATTGCAAATCGTTTCTATTATTTTAGATATACACAGAATCGGTTACGGAACAAAGTCAACGTCTATTGATGTGGCAGTACAGTGGTAATTTGGGAAAACACTGGAACTATGCTAAAGTGGTCATTGGTAATCCATTCAGATATAAAGTTGTTTTTGAAGCTGTTGCGGGTGATCCGGACTTTTCTGATATAGCCATTGACGACGTAACATTTACACAGTCGTGCCTAAACTCAGGTGAGTGTAACACAGTAAATTATACGAACTACAGCCGAACATGACAACATGACTGCAAATATAGAAGTGAACACATAACTACAGTATATATTCCTCATACTTCACGTCAGGGTAAATACTGTGCTAAATCAAAGTAACCATGTGCTACATTCACCAAAATGTTCGTTTATTAACCAAGAAAAGTAAATGTTTAATTCGATTTAACATATTTATAACCCTGACGTTTCCACAGTATTATTTACTTGATTTACTTTTTTATTAGCTGCTACTACGAGTTTACAAGCATGAATTTTGGTTAATTAGTTCAGAATATATTGTACAGTGTATGCCCTTGTTCGAATATTGATTCTAGAAAAATTCAAATATTTAAGAGATAATAAATCTGGCAAAAGAAATATCGTTATTCTTAAGATCTGTCAATACAGTGTTATAACTTATCTTTGTTATTATAAATTGGTCTGTGTACAATTATTGTATAGATAATATTTTCTGTTATTTCTTAATATTTTACTATATTAGATATTGGTGTTCCAGACCCATGTCTGCGTAATCAAATATATTGCCCAGGTGACCAAATATGTGTTGATATATCCTGGTTGAATGACGGGGATGTTGATTGTCCAGCTGATTGTTATGACGAAGAAGAATTTAGATTCAACTGTAGTAAGATTCAATCCTATATTTTAATATTACAGTAGCAGGCACCTAACTAGAAGTATTAATATTGTATTCTACTCTACGTGGTTGCGAAATTAGGTTAGATGAACTGTTTTACCCAACTACACTATGCATTTCGAGTTCCCGACGAGACGTTCGAGTTACCGGTTTTCCAGCATTATAATGCTGGTGGGGTCTTATGGCGGAGCGTCATATAATTGGTATAAATGTACGTAAAGCTAAACTCATTGAACTTGTGGAGCTGACGAACGAATATTCGAAATACTCTGCTGTATTCAGTTTGGAAAAGATGAACATTGGAAGCTGTTCACATGCCGTCTGTCGAGAAAATTTCCCAAGAATTTCACTTCTCCAGATGTTTTGATTTTCCATTTTACTCACTCCATTTTTGGAGGCCCGCGAAATAACTTCTGTGATTTGTTTCTCTGCAAAAAAAAGAATTATCGTATTTCAAATGCAGAAACATGAACTGTACAATTTTGTTCAACTAAAAACAAAACATAATGACCACTTAAAACGATTACCAAAAATCCAAAGTTTTACAATTCCCTTCCTTTAAATAAATCTCAAAATTGTTCTCTTTCCTCAAGAAATTGCACACATTAACCCCTACCCTCAAATATTTTCATGGAATAGTTTTTTCGATGATATCGATTGACTGTAGGAAATTTGTTATCACCGTGCCTTCACCAATCTATATGCTATGTTAACATGGCAGTGTATTCTCGTAGTTATTGGTTCTGTTTCAGTGGACAGCTTTAACACTGAAATCATGCCGACTGGATAATGGATATCATTATTTTAAAGAACGTCACGTTTTTGTCATTATTGACTCTATTACATCGGGACCGCTTATATTTATATCAGGGTAGAGTGTTTTGTGAATCTTCTCAAACAGAAAACCGTATAGATGCTGGTTCCTTATTAAATCAATTAGTTCCCAAATAATTTCTGGAGAACAATTTTTATTTTTTTATATCAAAAGAGTCATCGCATTGGAAGATAAAATGTTACATCAATACATTTTTAAAGTTTTTAATGATGATAGCACTAGGCGCACATTCAACTATTATGAGTTCAAGGTCACAATTTTCGTTGACGTAGTACGCCGATATTTTATCAGCGGAACAATATTATGCGTTAATTGCTGTTGTTTTCAGTGACAGGATCGATGGTACGCATCGCTTTGTTTACATCCGGGTATTGTATTTGCCCTCTCAACTTCAAGAGTGATAGGGCAAACCTTGTTTGAACCACATTCGCACCATACATACAGAACACGGAAAAAATACCACTAATTTGACATATATGTGAATTTGTCTTTGTCCAATATTTGTATAGGCTCACATAATGAACACGACCAAAATTTGGAGAAACAAATAAGTAAGTCCACAGTATTATTTATTATCTCGCTTAAAACGGCGTTTGTCGAATTTTTGTTTTTCGTTCAAATTATTTATTCTGCGTCTGTCCGTAACATCTTCATTTACCAGCAAACATCACATCATAAGCATGAAAAAAAACAGTAAAATTAAACATTGATGTTGCAATATGTGATGATGAAAATGGAATTTTAAAACGGGCTATATCAATTCACGTTGTACTTTCCAGACCGTTATGGCACAGTAATCGCAGGTACCGGACTGGCAGCATTTGTAATTTTTGTGTCAGTGATCGCTGTGGTAGCATACAGTTTGAGGTAGGTCATTATCCATATCGAGTATACACAACATAAATCATTTTTCCATGCCTGAAATCAATCAGTTAACCAAACAATCAGTTAACCCCAAAAAAATAATTCAGTGCATCAGAAATAACATATAATGAACACAATGTTATGCCTATTTATTGCAGAATCAAGGGTGCAACTACTTCTTCTGCACATGTCACTGTTTCTCGTGAGGTTTGTTATTTCAAATTACACTTAAATGTGTTTCCGTGGATTATGTAAAAGTATGAAATACATGTTCAGTAATTTAATTAAATCAGTTTTACGTATGGATAGTTTACACTACAAAAATACATTGTGTAGGGGAACAAACAAAAAAGAAAAACAAAAACAATACACAAATACCAATAAATAAAATATAGAAATTTATATCTACATGGGATTTTAATCAGATTGGAAATACAGGAGATAACACTTGTTTACTGTAATGCAATATATAACACTTGTTTTCAAATTGTGGTCACATTGTCACATACAATTTTCATTTAATAAATGTTTGATTTGTTTTGTTATTAAAGGTCCGTATGCAGGATTTGAATTACTGGAATACTATTTTTCGTTAAAGGTAAACTCATTTTTTTTAAAGTAATGTTCCCTCTTGTGGTTTAACCATGTGTGTCTCAATTAATACACAGAGAGTTGCACATATCCCATATTCTAACATATATTTACCCTTTATTATAGATATGTATATCAACGAACTTAGGTATGAAGAGTGAATGGTTTACAAAGACTAATATTATTTGATATGAATACACGATTGTTACATTTAATAAGTCATATCCAACTTTATTTTTATTTAATTAAATAATACTTTTAGATGCTAATAGCCATCAGCATATCGTTGAGAGCTTCTCGAACAGTATTCATTTCCTTTCCTTATAGCATCCACTGACATACAGAACATAAAACTCCATTCAAATGGAAAAAACAAGTCTCGTAACTCTCGCTCTCAACGAAATCTCAGTAACATTTGCATATTAATCTTAATTATTCTTATGTAAACAGATGTACAAAACACATATCGGATTTATTGTCAAGACTATTGCACCTAGTAGATGGTAGAATGAGCCAAACAATGTGATAATGTGAGTATGGATATGCAAGCTGGATCCAACACACTTGAATATTCATTTTAAATCTAGGGAAAGTATTTTATGAGGGCGACCTATTCATACGTCCGAATAAACATTCGATATTCTCAATTTAGGTTAATGATGATTTATATTATTCTAATAGAACAGTTGATAATTTAATAATATTTACCGAGAAAGTTCCATTATTTTGAAATACATTCATAAAACTGTATTGTCATTTAGCATAGTCATTATTTAGATTGATTAATGTTTGCTTGATTTTGTGTATGAGTGTTTTGCCTATCTCGTGTAATAAATGTTTATATAATTCATTGGAAAATTTCCCTTCTGTATACGAGCTGTTCTATATAATAATCTCCTGTGACACTCATTTGTACACTGTAAGCAACCAAAGAATGTAATAAAATGTGCTTAGTCATTCGGTAACCACAACCCACACACAAGTGTGGGAGTACTTTTTGGTGTCTTTATATTTGAAACCTTTTAACAGTTGGCTAAAACAACTGAAAAAAATATCTGATATGAATTTAAGATGAATACAACTTCATAACTACGACCCAAGATTGATAATTGACAATGTTACTTGCGGGGCAATGGTCTCATAATTATACTGTTAATTTGGTGTTTCACAATATACATAAGCGATATCTACCTTTATTCAGGTTACTGATCTTTTAAGTTACAGTTGAATGTGACTTAGTGTCACAGAGTGTCTAGATTGTGATTTTAAGAAACGATTATATGTTGTACGCGAGAAATTTATTTATGTATTTATTATAAGATATTATGTGTTGTACATGAGATATGTATTTGTGTATTTATTTATTTAATATAAGAAATTATGTGTTTTACACGAGAAATTTAATTATGTATTTACAGTTTAGGCCAAAATTAGATGCTTTAACACTACACGTACACATATTTGGAAGTAAGTCGTGCTACGTGCTTCGGATGTTACCTAATTTGCTTACTTGTCGTAGAATTATAATTTATTATTATCGATGATTAATGTATAGGTGTTGTAGACACCATTTTTACTTAAGTTATAGATGCAGGTTCGTGGGCACTTGGGAGTAATTTTGTTTTGCTTTTTATTATCCAAACAGCCTTGGCTATGGACTGAAATTTCGCAGCATTGTTAATAGTGGAACATACTCAAAAGACGATTTTAAAATATAGAAAATAGGTACGAACATGCTCTCCTTTGAATGCTTAGCCAGATTTAGCAAGGCTGTACATAAATAATCAAAAAGAAACATGGAGAATAAAAAGAAATGATGGGATCTCCATGTTATGCACTATATTTAACTTTTTACGAAACGATAATAGGTTTAAATTTGGAGCTGTTATAGATATTTTAATTATGAGCATTAGCAAACTTCTTACTGAGTGAATGGTTATGAAAATTAGCCATTATCTCCGCTTGTGTTTTTCAATTTACCAGGGAAGTTCAAATCTAAATAGCTCTCACAATTTTTGTTTATTTCAAGTAAGACTTACAAACAACGTTTATTAGTTTTTAATTAACAAATAGGCGACCAGGTCTATATGTGGTATGTTTTGTTTTCATATTACAAACTTGTCAAGCAGGATGTGTGCCCTATATTCAAACCCGGTCAGTATTTCACACTTCGAAGGTCAAGGTCCGAGAATGCAAAACTTTAAAAATAGGCCAAGACGTCCTTTTAGACGTCGTCAAAATAGAGACGACGTCAACATTTCAACAACAAAAAACTGTGGGAGCTAATTAATTTTAAATTTCTTTGATCAACCACAAAACACGAACGACGATAACGCCCGTTTTATGAAAGTGACTTCAACTGTCTTTAAATGGCCATTGCATCACGACGACATGCCAAAATCCATCATAAACCGACGCTTGCTGAAGTTCAATTGTCAGATAAAAAAATAAAATAAAAATATTTACAATTATAGGGAAACAGAGGTAAAATCGTCCGCGGAGTCAAAACCTTGAGTGAAAACTCTCACGTCGTCGTGTTATCATTTCCACTGAGGGAGGGCACAATAGATTAAGTAAAGCCGATGAAATACTCATACATACAGTTATAAAAACAGAGCGATCGCAATTGGGTGAGTTGAGTCTAAATTTACCTTTCCTCAAACCTTTCAAAAAAATACTTTGTATGACTCATTCTTAC